CCGAAATTGTCTCGACAGTGAACGCGCAGTATTGGGATTTTCGCTCTAATAGGGCACCGCAGCCGACGCGGGCGATACGAGGGAGCCAATTAAACGGCGCCGAAATTGTCTCGACAGTGAACGCGCAGTATTGGGATTTTCGCTCTAATAGGGCACCACAGCCGACGCGGGCGATACGAGGGAGCCAATTAAACGGCGCCGAAATTGTCTCGACAGTGAACGCGCAGTATTGGGATTTTCGCTCTAATAGGGCACCGCAGCCGACGCGGGCGATACGAGGGAGCCAATTAAACGGCGCCGAAATTGTCTCGACAGTGAACGCGCAGTATTGGGATTTTCGCTCTAATAGGGCACCGCAGCCGACGCGGGCGATACGAGGGAGCCAATTAAACGGCGCCGAAATTGTCTCGACAGTCAACGCGCAGTATTGGGATTTTCGCTCTAATAGGGCACCACAGCCGACGCGGGCGATACGAGGGAGCCAATTAAACGGCGCCGAAATTGTCTCGACAGTGAACGCGCAGTATTGGGATTTTCGCTCTAATAGGGCACCGCAGCCGACGCGGGCGATACGAGGGAGCCAATTAAACGGCGCCGAAATTGTCTCGACAGTGAACGCGCAGTATTGGGATTTTCGCTCTAATAGGGCACCGCAGCCGACGCGGGCGATACGAGGGAGCCAATTAAACGGCGCCGAAATTGTCTCGACAGTGAACGCGCAGTATTGGGATTTTCGCTCTAATAGGGCACCACAGCCGACGCGGGCGATACGAGGGAGCCAATTAAACGGCGCCGAAATTGTCTCGACAGTGAACGCGCAGTATTGGGATTTTCGCTCTAATAGGGCACCGCAGCCGACGCGGGCGATACGAGGGAGCCAATTAAACGGCGCCGAAATTGTCTCGACAGTGAACGCGCAGTATTGGGATTTTCGCTCTAATAGGGCACCGCAGCCGACGCGGGCGATACGAGGGAGCCAATTAAACGGCGCCGAAATTGTCTCGACAGTGAACGCGCAGTATTGGGATTTTCGCTCTAATAGGGCACCGCAGCCGACGCGGGCGATACGAGGGAGCCAATTAAACGGCGCCGAAATTGTCTCGACAGTGAACGCGCAGTATTGGGATTTTCGCTCTAATAGGGCACTACAGCCGACGCGGGCGATACGAGGGAGCCAATTAAACGGCGCCGAAATTGTCTCGACAGTGAACGCGCAGTATTGGGATTTTCGCTCGAATAGGGCACCGCAGCCGACGCGGGCGATACGAGGGAGCCAATTAAACGGCGCCGAAATTGTCTCGACAGTGAACGCGCAGTATTGGGATTTTCGCTCTAATAGGGCACCGCAGCCGACGCGGGCGATACGAGGGAGCCAATTAAACGGCGCCGAAATTGTCTCGACAGTGAACGCGCAGTAATGAGATTTTCGCTCTAATAGGGCACCACAGCCGACGCGGGCGATACGAGGGAGCCAATTAAACGGCGCCGAAATTGTCTCGACAGTGAACGCGCAGTATTGGGATTTTCGCTCTAATAGGGCACCGCAGCCGACGCGGGCGATACGAGGGAGCCAATTAAACGGCGCCGAAATTGTCTCGACAGTGAACGCGCAGTATTGGGATTTTCGCTCTAATAGGGCACCGCAGCCGACGCGGGCGATACGAGGGAGCCAATTAAACGGCGCCGAAATTGTCTCGACAGTGAACGCGCAGTATTGGGATTTTCGCTCTAATAGGGCACCGCAGCCGACGCGGGCGATACGAGGGAGCCAATTAAACGGCGCGGAAATTGTCTCGACAGTGAACGCGCAGTATTGGGATTTTCGCTCTAATAGGGCACCACAGCCGACGCGGGCGATACGAGGGAGCCAATTAAACGGCGCCGAAATTGTCTCGACAGTGAACGCGCAGTATTGGGATTTTCGCTCTAATAGGGCACCGCAGCCGACGCGGGCGATACGAGGGAGCCAATTAAACGGCGCCGAAATTGTCTCGACAGTGAACGCGCAGTATTGGGATTTTCGCTCTAATAGGGCACCACAGCCGACGCAGGCGATACGAGGGAGCCAATTAAACGGCGCCGAAATTGTCTCGACAGTGAACGCGCAGTATTGGGATTTTCGCTCTAATAGGGCACCGCAGCCGACGCGGGCGATACGAGGGAGCCAATTAAACGGCGCCGAAATTGTCTCGACAGTGAACGCGCAGTATTGGGATTTTCGCTCTAATAGGGCACCACAGCCGACGCAGGCGATACGAGGGAGCCAATTAAACGGCGCCGAAATTGTCTCGACAGTGAACGCGCAGTATTGGGATTTTCGCTCTAATAGGGCACCGCAGCCGACGCGGGCGATACGAGGGAGCCAATTAAACGGCGCCGAAATTGTCTCGACAGTGAACGCGCAGTATTGGGATTTTCGCTCTAATAGGGCACCGCAGCCGACGCGGGCGATACGAGGGAGCCAATTAAACGGCGCCGAAATTGTCTCGACAGTGAACGCGCAGTATTGGGATTTTCGCTCTAATAGGGCACCGCAGCCGACGCGGGCGATACGAGGGAGCCAATTAAACGGCGCCGAAATTGTCTCGACAGTGAACGCGCAGTATTGGGATTTTCGCTCTAATAGGGCACCGCAGCCGACGCGGGCGATACGAGGGAGCCAATTAAACGGCGCCGAAATTGTCTCGACAGTGAACGCGCAGTATTGGGATTTTCGCTCTAATAGGGCACCGCAGCCGACGCGGGCGATACGAGGGAGCCAATTAAACGGCGCCGAAATTGTCTCGACAGTGAACGCGCAGTATTGGGATTTTCGCTCTAATAGGGCACCACAGCCGACGCGGGCGATACGAGGGAGCCAATTAAACGGCGCCGAAATTGTCTCGACAGTGAACGCGCAGTATTGGGATTTTCGCTCTAATAGGGCACCGCAGCCGACGCGGGCGATACGAGGGAGCCAATTAAACGGCGCCGAAATTGTCTCGACAGTGAACGCGCAGTATTGGGATTTTCGCTCTAATAGGGCACCGCAGCCGACGCGGGCGATACGAGGGAGCCAATTAAACGGCGCCGAAATTGTCTCGACAGTGAACGCGCAGTATTGGGATTTTCGCTCTAATAGGGCACCACAGCCGACGCGGGCGATACGAGGGAGCCAATTAAACGGCGCCGAAATTGTCTCGACAGTGAACGCGCAGTATTGGGATTTTCGCTCTAATAGGGCACCGCAGCCGACGCGGGCGATACGAGGGAGCCAATTAAACGGCGCCGAAATTGTCTCGACAGTGAACGCGCAGTATTGGGATTTTCGCTCTAATAGGGCACCGCAGCCGACGCGGGCGATACGAGGGAGCCAATTAAACGGCGCCGAAATTGTCTCGACAGTGAACGCGCAGTATTGGGATTTTCGCTCTAATAGGGCACCGCAGCCGACGCGGGCGATACGAGGGAGCCAATTAAACGGCGCCGAAATTGTCTCGACAGTGAACGCGCAGTATTGGGATTTTCGCTCTAATAGGGCACCGCAGCCGACGCGGGCGATACGAGGGAGCCAATTAAACGGCGCCGAAATTGTCTCGACAGTGAACGCGCAGTATTGGGATTTTCGCTCTAATAGGGCACCGCAGCCGACGCGGGCGATACGAGGGAGCCAATTAAACGGCGCCGAAATTGTCTCGACAGTGAACGCGCAGTATTGGGATTTTCGCTCTAATAGGGCACCGCAGCCGACGCGGGCGATACGAGGGAGCCAATTAAACGGCGCCGAAATTGTCTCGACAGTGAACGCGCAGTATTGGGATTTTCGCTCTAATAGGGCACCGCAGCCGACGCGGGCGATACGAGGGAGCCAATTAAACGGCGCCGAAATTGTCTCGACAGTGAACGCGCAGTATTGGGATTTTCGCTCTAATAGGGCACCACAGCCGACGCGGGCGATACGAGGGAGCCAATTAAACGGCGCCGAAATTGTCTCGACAGTGAACGCGCAGTATTGGGATTTTCGCTCTAATAGGGCACCGCAGCCGACGCGGGCGATACGAGGGAGCCAATTAAACGGCGCCGAAATTGTCTCGACAGTGAACGCGCAGTATTGGGATTTTCGCTCTAATAGGGCACCGCAGCCGACGCGGGCGATACGAGGGAGCCAATTAAACGGCGCCGAAATTGTCTCGACAGTGAACGCGCAGTATTGGGATTTTCGCTCTAATAGGGCACCACAGCCGACGCGGGCGATACGAGGGAGCCAATTAAACGGCGCCGAAATTGTCTCGACAGTGAACGCGCAGTATTGGGATTTTCGCTCTAATAGGGCACCGCAGCTGACGCGGGCGATACGAGGGAGCCAATTAAACGGCGCCGAAATTGTCTCGACAGTGAACGCGCAGTATTGGGATTTTCGCTCTAATAGGGCACCGCAGCCGACGCGGGCGATACGAGGGAGCCAATTAAACGGCGCCGAAATTGTCTCGACAGTGAACGCGCAGTATTGGGATTTTCGCTCTAATAGGGCACCGCAGCCGACGCGGGCGATACGAGGGAGCCAATTAAACGGCGCCGAAATTGTCTCGACAGTGAACGCGCAGTATTGGGATTTTCGCCCTAATAGGGCACCGCAGCCGACGCGGGCGATACGAGGGAGCCAATTAAACGGCGCCGAAATTGTCTCGACAGTGAACGCGCAGTATTGGGATTTCCGCTCTAATAGGGCACCGCAGCCCACGCGGGCGATACGAGGGAGCCAATTAAACGGCGCCGAAATTGTCTCGACAGTGAACGCGCAGTATTGGGATTTTCGCTCTAATAGGGCACCGCAGCCGACGCGGGCGATACGAGGGAGCCAATTAAACGGCGCCGAAATTGTCTCGACAGTGAACGCGCAGTATTGGGATTTTCGCTCTAATAGGGCACCGCAGCCGACGCGGGCGATACGAGGGAGCCAATTAAACGGCGCCGAAATTGTCTCGACAGTGAACGCGCAGTATTGGGATTTTCGCTCTAATAGACCATTTGCAGTCTCTCCCAAGCGCCCCGGCGCGCGCGCGAGGAATCTTGGGATCGGTGTTCTGTCGGCCCCCGTCGTCTGGCTGCTCTCCGTTGGAATCGCATCACCTCGCCCTAGACATACTTTTCATCTTCGTTGTTTATACTTAATAATCCTCTTTTTTATCTACTCCAGTGTATTTTTCTTGTTCATAAGTGTATCTATTTCGTTCAGCGCTTTGTATTTCTTCTGTATATTACGTGTTTTTGTGCATATTCCATCGTTTTCGACGCGGCCGTCGACGGACACCACGCCGCTTCGTTCGCCGCTCCCGGGGTGAGTACTGACTGTTGCCGTTACGCTCTATCCCGCTCCTAGGCCGTTCATTTAACTCGTGTGCGGTCGCGAGAGAGCAGTTTCGAACATCACTACAAATGTCACCGCTGTAAGCAGAGAAATAAAGTAGTCATCACGAAGCGAAGGCCGACATGCCTTCGCTTCGTGATGCGCTCGCCCTGTGAAATGTGAGCGTGGGATATCGAGTACTGCTTGCGTGCTCAACATTCGGGACGGTGCTTTGTCGTTGCGATCTTTTTGCCCTTCGGACGCTTGCGAAGCTGTACCAGCGGTCGGCGTGCCTCGGCAGCGCTCGTCAACAACCGTCCGCGCAGCATCACATCCTTCGCGTTCGGTTCTTCGTCGCGGCGGGAGAAGGGGTTCTGACTGCGTTTTATGCATAGTATGGGGGAGATTCCATTGTTTATCGAAATTACAGTTCAGCTAGCGCGCTCACTGTGGTGAGGCAAGATTGCCCCTGCGAACCGCGCTAACACAGCGTCCCGCGAGTGCATATCTTTATTGATCATCCCGTTTTCACGCAAGCGCGTGCATATGAAATGCTAGACACTTTTTAGTGGCTCTGCGAACTGCTTCTTTTGGACGAACACTGACGCATTGAAAGCTGGAGTGTCTTTGCCACTCCTGTACAACACTTCACGGTCGTGCCAGCAGCTTTATGCTGCTGGCACGAAACGGATTATGGTCAAAACGCGTTCTTCGTATTCAGAGCTGCACTATATCATGGACACTGACAGGGCAGCAGCAACAAGCAGCTCAGTGACACTGGAGATGCTTGTCCCCAATGCCAGTGCGTGGCTTGCTTTCAGAATGCTCCTTCGACTGTGTAATGTTCGAAAGTGCACAAGAAGTTGTAGATTACAAAAGCTGGCATGTTTGCCTAATAGCAAACGCTCTTTTTTTAGCACAAAGTTTACAGCAGGCTTTTTTTGAGGGGTTGTTACCCTAGATGAACTCTTACTTCGCAAGTTTAGGTTAATTCTGTCAAAACAACACCAAACCCATTAAAAAACTGTGTTGGTCAAATTTCCGTCCTCCTTTTAAAACGCTGACTGAGCTGCCTTTTTTTCAGGGAAGGCTATGGCGACACGGGATGTACCAGAGCCGCAAGAGCTACCACTTCCAGCAGGACCTTGGACCAAGCAGCTGAAGGACTTTCCTTCCGCATTCTCGGAAAGCCACATCCAAGGGCATGGCCAAGCAGCTGGAGCACAGAAGCACACAAGTTCTGGCTACAAAATGTTCAAGGCCCACAAAGTGCAGAACATCTTCCTCCACACCACAAGTGCATCAGAGACAATTGTCAAGGCTAACGTGGAGGCTTCCATGACCCTTACGAAGCGATACGCAGTGCATGCTGTGCTCTGCCAAGATGGGCAGGTCAGCAAGGCTTCCTGTTCCTGCAAGGCTGGACAAGGCGGTGTGTGCAAGCATGTGGCAGCACTGCTTTGGCACATGCTAGACCTGATAAGGGAGGGAAGGTCCTACATCCCGGATGCTCTGGCCTGCACTGAGGGAGCAAGGCAGTGGGGCCCATCTTCAAAGAGAGGTGCAAGTACGGTGTCGTTCAACGAACTAGAATTCGTCAAGCACGACTCTAGCAACAAGGCGAAGAGTGCGAGAAAAACCACGGAAGTGCATGTGGACGTGGCGCAGGCAACCGTCAAGAGGCTGCATACAGATTTCATTGAGAAGGGAATATTCCCAATGTTTGCGGACGTGATGGAAGAAGCTGCCTTCACACCCTTGCCAAGGAAGGTTCAGGAGCACTCGAACACGGATGATGGGGCCTCTGCAGCACGGATCAGCTTGCCCATAAAAGAGTGCTGGAATCACCAGATGCCACCAAGCGATCCATGCACCCTGACTCTTACACAAGCTCAGCACCTGGAGGAACAGACACGTGGCCAAAGCAGAAGTATGCTGTGGCACACGGAACGTGAGAAAAGGATCACGGCATCACAGTTCGGAGACATCGTCAAACGACAAGCACCCGTGAACGAAAAGTTTCTCAGGACGATTTTCTCGGGCGGACATGGCACGACACGTCACATGAGGGCGGGACTTCAGAATGAGGCGGCTGCTCTGAAGCGCTACAAGGCCAAGCAAAAGGTCCAAGTCTTCAGTGTTGGCCTTTGCATCAACCCTGGCCTTCCCATGCTGGGGGCATCACCAGACGGGCTGGTCTGGGACGAAGATATACAGGAGTACGGACTAGTCGAAGTGAAGACCGTGTCACGGGCGATAGATGCGAACCTGACGACCTTCGAGGAGGTGATGAGCAGAGGGTTTGTGGAGTTTATCCATGCGGACAAGAGTGTCGACAAAAAGCACAAGCACTACTACCAGGTGACAGGACAACTTGCGCTCACAGGACTGGAGTGGTGTGACCTTGTTGTTGACTGGGCGAAAGACTGCTGGGTCACACGGGTGCCCTTTGATGAGGCACTCTGGGTGAACGTTATGGTGCCACGCCTGACAGACTTTTTTTTTAAATATCGGAAAGACTGAGTGTTGATCATAAAATTGTAGTGTCTGTTGTGGGCGGTTCTAGTGCCAAGTTTGGACACTTTTGGTAATCGGGTTGCAAACACTGCCCGCGTGGGTGGGCGGCTCCGTACGTCAGCCTGCTGGTTTCGACTTCGACAACACCGGTTCTTGGCCTACCCGGTTTACGCAACTCGAGGAGTACGCTTATGCCTCCGTACTTCGCCAAGCACCACCGGACATTCAGGTGCGGACACTTCTCTACTGCATGGGCCCCGAGGCTCGGGTCCTTCTCGACATGTTCGGCTTGAACGCCGCCTCCCTGAACAACTACAACACGGTGGTCAAGCGCTTCTCGGAACACTTCCTGTACCCCGTCAACGAGGTGTAAGAGTCCTCGAGGTTCCACGAGCGGGTTCAGCAGCCGGGAGAGAGCGTCGACAGTTACTACGCCGAGCTCTGCAAGCTTGTCAAGTGGTGCAACTACCCGTCCCCCAAAGTCGAAGAACGCCTGGTTCGCGACCGGTTCGTTGTTGGTCTTTGCGACGAACGCCTGTCCGGCCAGCTCTGCTGGAAAGCCAAGCTCAGCCTCAAGGACGCGTGGACGCAGGTGAGGCAGATCGAAGACGCCGAAAAAGAAAAAAACTGCTCGCGGGAGTCGAGAGTGTCCAGGTCACCGTCAACGTTGACGCCACCAAGTCTTGTCATGGTCCGACGCACCAACGCAAGACAACAAAACGGTCAGACGACGCATCAGCAGTGTCTTCACTTGGCGATAACGACCCAGGTTCCTGCAGCTACTGCAGTCGGGCCCCCCACACACGCTCAGACTGTCCTGCTCGGCAGTCTCTGTGCAATTATTGCAAGAAGAAGGGCCACTTCGCGGACGTCTGTTGCGCTCGGAAACGAAAGCAGAGCAAGGTGGCGTTCCTTACCGCTCCACGCAATCCTCGAGACTGAGAAGGCCAAGGCCAAGTACGTTGAGGTCAATGTCGACAACTACACGGCGATATTCAAGGTAGATTCCGGCGCGGAGGCGTCTGCTGTTTCGGAAGCCTTCCCGAACTTACCTCATCATCTGGACAAGGTCGACGACCTGCTGACAGCACCAGGAGACCAGTCGCTAAAAGTCATTGGGTACTTCATGGCTACCCTCCTGTGGCGAGGCAAGACCGGTCATCAGCGTCTGTACGTGATCAAGTCCCTCTCTATGCCCCTGCTCGGGTTCCCAGCCATCCAGGCTCTGGGTGTGGTAAAGTTCTTGGACGACATGAAAGTGCCGGCACCGCAGGGACTTTTCAGAGGTCTCGGCACGCTCAAGGAGGAGTACAAGATTCGGCTACGCCCGGATGCGGTTCCGTTTTCACTTAGTGTTCCATGCCGCATACCGATACCCCTGCGCGAGGTGGTGCAAACAGAACTGGCCAAACTGGAGCAAGACGGAGCCATTCGGCGTGTCACCAACCCCACACCTCGGGACGCTGGACTGTTCATGGTTCCAAAGTCGTCGGGAGGTTACCGTGTCTGTATCGACTTTACAAAATTAAATCAAGTTGTCCCGAGAGAACGTCATGTGCTCCCCACCGTCGATCAAGTCCTGGGACTTCTGGGCGATGCGGCAGTCTTCTCGAAGCTCAAAGTTACCTCAAGCTTCCATCAGGTCAAGCTTTCCAAGGACTCTCAAGAGCTTACGATGTTCATTACGCCGTATGGGCGTTATTGCTTTTGCCGACTCCCATTTGGCATCACGTCGGCCCCTGAGTTTTTCCAGCGACAGGTGGCGTGGATCTTGGAAGTCCTAGACGGATTGGTCAACATGGTCGACGACATCCTAGTCTTCGGCAGAACGAAAAAGGAACATGACCAACGCCTGCGGCAGGTGCTGTTGTGTCTCTCCGAGGCCGGCGTCACCCCTAGCTTCCGTCGACGGTTCGGCCTCAGGTGGACCTGTCTACTCGCGTCATCGTGATGTGCCTCGTCCAGCATCACCACCACGTGTTCGTGGTGATGGTACGGGCCGACACTACTCAACCCATTCTGGAAGACAAGTGGTCGCTCCCAAGAGACTCAATCTGTAAAACTTTGTTTTTTTTCACAGCCAAGGTGTCCGATACTCTCCTTGAACATTCTAAAGGGGGGATTTTGCGGGCGGTGCTAGTGCCAAGTTTGGACACTTTCGGTAATCGGGTTGCAAACACTGTGCCCACGTCTTGTGTAAAAAGCCATTGCCTCGTGTGATAAAGGTGCCTTTTGGTTCCTAGCTCTGGACGCTCAGTTGGTTGCTTGCCGTCGCTGGTGGGCTGTGCAGTTTCACCGCCGGCCACAGCCCGGCACGGCAGTGTCACAAAGGAATCAACCTCATTTTTAATGCCAAAGACTTGGAGAACATATAATAAACCAACTTTTGTGAACTGAAAGTGGCTGTCATGACAAGTAGTTGGAATGCCTCAGACTGCTCATGTCGGCACAAGAATTTGTTGCAAACTGTAGCGCGTACCTCTGTCCGATATAGTAGTCGCAATATTTGTGTACTGAAAATAGAGTTTGTGCACTGTGCATGCTAAATTTCATACACTTTTCCATTGTTTACAAACCCACGCCCCAGCGTGTAATCTTCACAGCCTAGCATGCGCGTGGTCGTCAGTTGTGAAACCGTCCAAAGCACGCGCCATACACACAAACACTAAAGATGGTATGGGAGCGTGTGACACCTAAAGAGGGCATGATCCTCTTCTGCATTATGCGCGAAAGTTCCAACAACGACCATGTGCTGTGGCTACCAACGCCGCTTCCGGCGGCCCACCTGGGAGCAAAATTGGTTTACGGTAGTGTCGTTACTGATTTCAGCGCTATTGATGGTGAAATTTTGGTTGCACGTCAAGGTCCCCACATGTTCTTCCTCTGGGGTGACAGACATCTTCCTTTGGTTTAATCTGTAAACCCTCTAATCTTCATTTGCTGGGGCATATTGACGGAGAATTTTAGTAATTCGCACAATTTACAATGCAACAGCTTGTTTTCAACATCTTGAATTTTTGCCTGTGGCACACGCAATGGCATCTCAGTTAAAGCCCCTTCATGTTTTAAAAGTAGCGCAAAGTGCGTCGATGCACGAGGCACGTGCAACATGCAGCCCTTGGGAAGATCATGGCGACACAGCGCAGCACTGAGCTAGATTTCAGACGCCATGTCCTTCCCAGAAGTGGCACACGGTACGTGTCTCGAGAATTTCCACAACAATGAATGGCGCCACTTTTCCCAGGATAGAGGGGCTTTAATCTCAGTCTGCCTGTTGCCCCACCAAACAGTTCTGCTAGGAGTCGACTGTGGCCCCACCATTACGTCTATTTTTCTTTATTAACCACTACATTTCCGCCCTTTTTAGAGGATATGTGTGTATTAAAATAAAACATCCAAAAGTATTGAAATTAATTTAATCAGTCCTAGTTAAAAATTAAGAATAATCAAATGCTCGCTACTCTGTCGTGTAGTGTGCAACCAATCTAAAATTAAAACCTGGCAAGTTTGGACAACATTTTATTGCGTTGAGTACTTCTGACAGGAATCCTAACGTCCTTGATTTCTTTCATCATGACCATCTACCTTTGCTTTGAAACATTTATTTAACGACCAAAGAAGTGGCCACCATATCTGCCCTGCTGTTTGGGCATAAAAAGAGGAAAAGCTTTTAATCTTCTCGGGAGCTTCCAGGGCGAATGAGACAAGTGGCAGCGATCAGGGACTCCTGGGGCTTCAGTAGTCTGGAGTCACCTGGTTGATCTCGGCGAGTATGGTTTCCTTGAGTGCCGTAGGGAGGTTCTGAAGTTGCCCGACTGTGACGTTGTTGGGGGCCAGGTGCACTGCGAGTGGAGGGTGAACGGGCAATCCATCCCAAGAGCTTGGTGACAGGGTGAACACAAGTGTAGCATCCAGAGTCATGTTGCGCTGGTTGCGGAAAAAAGACGTCCGAGGCCCGTTCAGCTAGCTCCTCGGGAGAGACACCTTTGCGAAGGGCAACAGTGGCAGCAAATTGCCTAGGTTTGTGGTCCCCGAGGAGAGAACGGAGGAGCCTTCAAACTTTCGAAAGATGGCTATTGCCGGAGATGGATCTGCACAGGGAAGTCCAGCAGTTGGAAGCGAGTTCCGAAGTGTAGCACGAGATAGTCTTTTGGAGTTTATGTGAAGGTTTGAGGAGTCGTCGTGGTCTGCGAGAACGGCGGTAACAGGCCAACAGGTGAATGCGGCGGTCCAGTAAGTAAATGCTCGTCAAAGCGGCATCGTCCGGTACGGTTAGCCGCTTTGTGGCAGACTTGTGGGCGGACTGGATAGCTTGTATAATGTCGGAAAAGCCAGCAAGTTCCATGACAGAAGAAAGAGCTGCTCGGAAGTTGTCCCACTTAGTGAAGAATGTGTCGCAGCAGGCGCGACAGTGAGATAGGGTTGCGGATAGGAAGTCGTAGCGTAAAATAATGGGGAGGTGATCACCGCCGAGGCGGTCGCCGGCGACATGCCATCTCCAGCGTCGAGGGTAACGAGCACAGGTAAAGTCGGGGCAGGTGTCCTGCTGTTGGGAGGATTGTTTGATACGTGTGGGGGTGTCTGGGATGTTGAGGAACGAAAGTTTCAGCCCTGTGAGGTCTGCAAGAAGCCGCGTGCCGTGGGGAAGGTCAATGTCGTAGCCCCATGCGTGTGTTTGGCATTAAGATCACCGCAAACGGGAACGTCGTCTTTTGGATAAAGACGGGCGAAGTGCTTAAAAAAAGGGATGTTTAGCGGCTGCCTTGTCCAGCGGTTTAGCGATGTGTCTGGAGCCACATAGACAGAGAAGAGAAAAACGGGCCGTTGAGGAATTGGCGGCAACCCGTAACGCTGGTCATTGCAGAGCACCTCTGTGAGGTGTCGAGAAGAGTGAAGCACACTGATCGATGAACGTACAGGGCGGAACGAATCCAAGGCAAGGGGGCACTAGTCTCAATGTTCGGAGCAAGTCCATCGTACTGTGGCAAAGAAGGGAGGGGGCCGTTGATTTCTTGTAGAGCAAACGCAGCGGCCATGTCGGATGACGAGTGAAGATAAAATTTTTCGATGAAGTCTGCCTTCTTCTGTTTAAGCGAGCAACAGTTCCACTGAACAATCCTGGGGGCGCTAACCATGTTTGCGTGGTGATAGTGGGGGGCCGCCGAACGGAATGATGCCCTGCATCGCGAGGCGCCCGATTACTGCACGGGTGCAGGTATCCACGAGAGTAAACAGCGAGTTTTGCATCGTCGGAATTCGCTGCGTGGCTGCCAGCATTTGTTTTGTGAAAAGGGTGATTTGTTGTTGCAAGCCAGTAAAGTCTGACCCTGACGGAAGTAGGGCAGGCGTCTCACTAGTGCTGTTGACAGCTCTCGCTGATTCTGCGAAGGTGGTCCGAGGCGGTTCTGATGTTGGGACTTGTGTGAGGTCGGCGGTGATGTTGTGTGCCGGCGTTAGGAGTTTTGTGGCGAGCACCGGGCGGGAGTCAGTCTTCTGCTTCGCAGACCTCGGTGCTGCGATGAGGGCTTTGGGCGCAGATAACAGCACAGCTTGCTGAGCAGGAGCTAGTTTCAGGCGTCACTGGTGGTGACGCCGGCTTCTCTTTGGATGTTGATGAAGGCAACTGACGACGCTGTGTTGTGCCGTTGGCTTGGGTGCTGTTGGGGCACTGGGCAACGCGAGGCTGGTGCCGTCGAATGTAATGAGTGCCGACCCAGAGTTTGTGAGAGGACCGGCCTGGAGGATAGCAGATTTCCGGCAATGAAGGTTTTTTAGGACGCAGAATCCAGGTCGCCAGACTTTTTTTATGAATCCGCGAACCTGGCCACGGCGAATGGCCTCGTAGCCTTGCACGGAGACCTGCAGAGTGCCGATCGGGATGTATGTTACATTGAGGAATGCATCGCACACTTGAGACAAAGCAGCATCAACTGCAAGTTGATTACTGCAGTCGAGGTACCTCACTTGGTAGGGGGCTGCAATGGTGTAGGAGACCTGAGGTCTATCTGTGCAGCAACTGCAGAGTCAATGGCAAGAAAGACCCCGTCCATGATGCGGCATGGTTTGGCCGGCCGTAGAATGACAGTGTGGGAGAACTCACTGCAGAACGATGCTGCTGGAGGCGCCGCGGGCGGGGCCGCCTTACGTCGGCGAGAGACAGGATGCCATCCGTCCTCCAGGGGGAACGAGTCAGGGTTCGAGTCACGTTGGATGCACCGGGGTGAGGTGGTAAGCTTAGTCGCAGCGGCGCCGAAGAAAAAAATGCCACGAGCACGCTTCGTTTCATTGGCGGCAGTGCGGATGTGGCAACTGTTGTTGAGGGGCGACAACTTGCTTTCGGGATCATCGTCGCCGAGGATGGAGAATGGATTCTGAGTAAAGACCGCAGGTTGAATTCACGCGGCAACAAGTGGTGCATCAAGAAGCGACGTGACGGCAGGAGTGGTTGCACCGGCTGTGGGTGGTGCATTGAGCGGTAAGCTTCAGACAGCGGGAGAAGCCAGCGTGGCCTCGGTGGGTTGTGAGTCCATTTCGTTGGGTAGAGGAAAGTCCCGAGGGCCGTAGTCGGTGCTAATGGTCGTCATGGGTCATGAGGGCGTGTGGGCACAAAAAGTTGCCGGAGCTGAAGTGAGCTAGATAGAGAGATATGGCCTCTTTTTTCTCCACGACCATCTACGAAGCCACAAGACTGCAGCTCTAGCTTCGACTGAGCAGTGGCTCTCTCGTGAAATTGCACAGCAAAGCACAGACCTTCCAGATAGAGTCCAGGCTCTTGCTCATACTGTTTGGGAAAGTACCCCTCAAGATTCGAAAACACTTCATTTGTCCAATCACTCGTTCCACGTGGATCCGGACCTTCGCAATCGCCCTAGTTTTCGCTTCGTCCTCCAGGGAGAGCTGTAGCCTTCCCCCAAGGAAAGGTGGAATGTTCAGGTTAGCCCCTGCAGCTTCGACCTCTTCAGTGATCAAAAAGCCTCTGTCCGCCATGACAGAGTCTCCGGGCTCAAGAAGGTTGCATAGCCCGGAACATGCGGTCAGGGCTTTGTCAGAGACGCGGCCAGGGGCAAGGTCGCTCACGAACGACACGAACCCATTGGGGGTGATGCCCAGCAGTCCCTTGGCAGTGTTGTGGCACTTGTAGCTTGAGTAGGTATCACTCTGCACCCTGAAGTCGCTAGGTGACTCGATGAAGATTTCCGTGCAATCCAGAATGACTCTCGTCGATGGATACGCCTCGATGAAGCACTCCGGCATGTGCTTGTTCACAACCTGTCGCGACGGCCAGTAGTTGAGTTGAGCAAGGTAGTCCGCTAGGTAACCAATCCAGAATGTCCACACCCGGCTGACTGTGCTGATGTGGATACGAAACCGGTATGCAAGGTCCTGCTCCAAAAGTCCCACCCTCAGGCGGGACAACACGAGCAGCAGCTGATCATCCATGGATAGATAAGGTGACCTTCTCTGCGGACCTTGACTTTCCTTGTGAGCTTCATAACCTGCCTGAACAAACTTGTAAAAGGCGAGAAATCTCTCCAGGGAGTCGAATCCCGTGTAGAAGGCCAGTTTCTTTGGGTCCTGTTGCACGGCTGTGAGCGTGAAGTTCTGAAAGGGGATTGTAGCATCGATGACCTCCTCTGCTTTGTCATACATCTCCTCAAGATGGGCTACTTTCTTCCGCAGAGCTTCATTTTCTTTCTGTAGACGGTCGTTGTCCTTGCGCAGTTTCTCGTTTGCAGAAGCGAGCTCCTCTAGCTGCCTGATGCGATCACGCAGGGCTTGATCGATACATCCTGTGATGCTGTACTGGTGGTCTGCCAGATGGGGAGATAGCAAAATAAATATCACATCATTTTTGCAGTCAAATATCAAAACAAAAAACTAGGCTTTCTCCTTGTAATTGCCTTGGCTCTGCCAAATAGCATATCATGTGCCATACAAAAAAAGCATCACATGTTAAAGGGGCCAAGAAACGATATGCATTTGGATGTTCTGCACCTCATACAAGCATACTGACGTCTGTAGCACAAATATAATCTATATAATAATCTATATACCACAAACCAGAGGCTCCCCTGCCAAGGTTATATTCTGAGGAATAGAAGGCTAATTTACAGTCAGAAATCACAATGTTGAGAAAGCCTAGGGTTCACACCAGGGTGACGACACTTGAATACAGACGGCTTATGAACTGGACCCAAGCACTGAGTGAGCACCTGACTATTTGGTTACAATCAATGCCATGGTAACTATTGGGGCTTGGGCTTGTGTCTAATCACTGCGCCAACAGTAGCAGCTAACCCCTAACAGTAATCATGTGATTATTTTACCTGGCTGTGAGGAAGAGCAGAATATTGCTTGTTCTCAAGCTTTATTGTGCGACAGCAGCATTTAGCAGAAGTAACTGAGTCGGTTTATGACCTCTTTAATGCTGCTCTGTTCCACACGAAGGAGCTATAATGGGAATGCTGGCTATTCGCCTTGAGATCCGATCGTCAGGGGTGCTGCGGGGAAATGCGGAACTAAGCTTTGTTCTACACTTACTTGGAGCACGGAGAATGCTGCGGACGCTAACTCGAAGCCCTGAGAGGCTCCGGTGCAGCGTTCGTGCGCATGCATTGGAGTCAACTGCGAATTCTAAGAGCATGCATAGCCTTGCCCGTGCTCCATAACAAAAGTGGGGATGGTTTTTTTGTGGACGCCAGAGAATCGCCGCTTGTCTTGTAGGAAACAATGGATAAACAAAAGCATGTGTCCCCACTTTTCAATCTGGATCTTGAGGCAAATAACATGCAAGCAGGGCTGTGGCAGCATCTCCTTTGTACCTGGCAGACAATGAAGTGAGGGTGTGACCGCAATCTGAAAGAACAACTCCGCGGGTACCTTGCATGTGCGGTATCTTAGAGTGCACCGTGCCATATGGTGCTGCGAGTATGGAACGGCCACAACTTGCGTGCTATAGCCAGCGGTGACTGAGTTAGTACAGTTTGTAAAGTTCGACGTACTGCATGTAAGTGTTCCATGCACCTATCGGGACTGCTGCACAGTTGACAGGGATGCCAAATAAACAGACGAGCAACACTGATGCTCAATGTTAGGAGCTTACCGCTAGCTATTACATCATCAGTGTCAGGGGCACCAGCGGAGGCCAAGGGGCTGCCGGGTTGTGCTGGCTCCTGGCTAGCAGGCAGGGTCACGGTCTGTGCCAGGTCAAGGTCCGACAGAAAGTAGGCCGGCAGCGGCTGCAGCGCATGGCGCTTCCTTGCGCAGATCATGTTTGGGACCTTTGGGCAGGCCGCAACATCTGCAGGCAAGGATAAGGCAATTGTTCACGCAATTATTTTATAAGCATTACATACCGGCTGGAATTCTGTCTAGCACAGGGCACAGCTTACACTGTACGGAGCACATAACATGTCAAACAACCAAGAGCTCAGCTGGATCAATAGCGGTCACTGTTTCTACCCTTTGGTAGCTGGTCTGGAATGTTGTAGCCAAATAGCGATTGTTGCAGTTCTTTCTGAGACGAAGTGCATTCAACAGCCACCGGCGTATAAAAGAAGGGAACAAAGTTTATATCCTTATTCAACATAGTTTGGCACACAACAAAAGGTTTGTCCCAAGCGAGCCAATCAGAGTACACTTCTCTAGTAAAGAGCTGTCACATACATTTGACTTCAACACTTCAATCAGTTCACAGGGGTTATAGAGTCTGCCACCTGCCATGTTACTGTGAAATCGACTATATTCGGTGCCATCTTAGGCTGTCCATACTTGCCTAAAGGGCCCTTTATTAAACATAATTATATTTCCGCATTCATATGTGTTTCCATTTGTGACACGAACGATATGCACAGCTGCAACTTCTTACAAAGCAGTTGGCTCAAGCATATTACGACCGCAAACTCCTGACAAGGCATGTCCAACTCTATCTGCTTGAATGGTCACTAGGAAGCTGCCTAGTCAAGCAAACACGGTGGACAGTAATTATAGAGTCCTTGCACCTGACGTCAGTTTTCGCTCAAAATATTTCTAGAATTCATGTTGGTACATTTTCTCCTATGTTTTTCTATGTGCTAAGAGAGTGTTTTCCAGCTCGCTGAAGTCCTCTTGCATTGTGACCGACTGTGTCAGATAGAGCAGTCGGAAATATAAAGAAGCATCGTCTGGTACCGTTCAAACACACTGCTGTTATTTAGAGTCGAGATGAGCTGGCACTTCAATGTACGACAGGAAACATGCAGAGCCTTCACTACTTTCCACAACGAGAGAGCTGGATTAAAAGCTGTCATTTGGGGCCATCAGAGATGAAGGCAGCAGAGCGACATCCCCTGGTGCCTTGAGCAGCAAGCTAGCTAAGCCAAGCCAAATCCTTGAAAAAGGCAGTCAGTAGGTTTATATGCCACCTATTCCCACTGCAAATTTAATGACGGACGAGAATGTTATACTTTTTCAGTTTCAGTGATATCCTTGATGCTACTTAACCGCACGTCGCAAAACCTCTTTTCGATTGCAGTCCATTTGCGTCGTCTAGCCGTTGAGAGATCTCATGTATTCAGACAAAACATTGTTATTATGTCTGCAGCTCTACAAAATCTGACATTACGATTGCTTGAAGCTCCGTCTTTTTCTATGAGAGCGATGATTGCTTCCGTAGGTCACGTATTTCGCCATGCTCACTGGGTAGCACCGCTGTCCACAAATCACCAGACGCCACCAGCAGTGACGTAGCTCACGTGAGAAACGACCCATGTATACAGTGATCACAAGCAAGAATATAAGCAGGGAAAAACAACTATTGCAGAAAGAAACAAAAATAGGCAAATAACATACACTTCGGAAATGTCCTGGTTGGAAAAAACCGGGGAGCTTTGTCCTCGTACTTCTTTCTCCCAGTTTCGTTAAAATGAGCGCCGCATATTCTGCTGTCAGAGGTTGGCGTCCACAGAGAGAACCGTCCAGTGGTACCTGCATGCAAAAGAAGCAGTTAGCACCATATTAAGATTCACCCATTCAACTTTGGAGCAAGTGCAACTCAATCTCAGTGGTAAGAATGGATGCAGCAGCCGTGGCGTCTGAACAGGGGCGTCAGTAAACTATCCGGGCAAGGGGGTAGAATTCAGTTCTCCTCCTCCCCCATCGTCACCCCACCGCCTTCTAAACACTTCCAGTACCATTGTGCAGCGGGCACTAAGAACAAGCACATAGTTTATGCCTAACAAACCTGGAGTGGATGCACGCTGAAAATGATAGAAGCACTGTGAGAGTATCTTTGCTTTAGCTGTAGGGTAGTGAGATGAAGCGACATTCCTGCGATGCAATCAAATATTGGTATGTCGGTGCAGGTGGAAGTGGCCAAGAGAGTGAAAAGGGCACATGCAACATCTGGGATTCTTTGAGATTGTCTTTTTTGTTTCAGTCGTATGTTGCACTTATAGGTCAAAAATAATGAATGCTATTTTTATTTTTAAAAAAAATGTGTTTCGCAGGTATGTTGTACATATGGGTAAAATGACTTGGGCCACGTCGGACAGTACACACACTGTACCTTCCTGATCATTGTCAGGAAAGTGTAGATAACAAGTAAAAAAATATGGTAAATACCTTTCCTGTTGATTCGCTGTACCCAAATGTTGCGTAGATGGCTGTTCTTCGGAAAGCGATTCCAGGACACATGCTTGGCAGTGAGAGTGGTGTGGGCACAGCCCGGTACACAGCAGGTTGTACCGCCCGTCATGTGGCTTCTGAGGGTGACCTAAGAAGATACTACATTCAGCTGACATCTCGAATAGTGAAATAAATAAGTGAAGTGACCATCAGTTTCAAAGTTGCAGTTGCTGACATAACTCGCTTGCTAAGGGCCCGCTCAACTCACAACCGCTGTTAAGAGCGATTGTGAAGCTATGCGATGTACTACATACGCATACCAGCCGCGACGATGAATCACCGGCGCTCGCGGACGGTCAGCGAACGCGAGAAAAGTGACGCCGCGCGGACGGTTGTTGACGAGC